GTCTGGGGACAGTGAGAGAAAGACGACGAAACCTCTGAGGACCCAAATGACCTGGGCATCGGAGACAGCCTAGCTTCCCCCACGGGTGTGGGGGTGGTGGGTCGGGATGGGAATTACCTTAGTCCATTTCATGTTGCTGTAACAGAATATCTGAGACTGGGTAAATCATAAAGAACAGAAGCGTGTGTAGCTTACGATTCTGTAGGCTAGGAACTTCAAGACTGGGCAGCACATCTGGCAGCTTCTGGGGAGAGCCTTGCGCTGCACCAAAGCACGGCAGAGAAATGGAAGGGGAACTCAGTGCATATGTAAAGGGCAAAATAGAAGAGGCAACCTTGCTTCATAACAACCTGCTCTCGTGGGAACTCATCTGTTCCCATGAGAACTAACCCACTCCAGAGAGGACTAACCCAGCTTCCAGAGAGAGATATTACTCCATCTAAAGGACTTAATCACATCTCAAACGCACCACCTGCCAGTACCACCACATTGAGGACCAAGTCTTAACATAAGTTTCGGTGGAGCGAACCACTTCTAACCACAGCAGGGGTCAAGGGGCCGGCGGTTAGACTGCACAGTGAGGGTGCTTAGCATTTCCAATGCTGGGTATAAGGACTTAGACTGCCTTCTTTTCTTGAATCTAAGAACCCAGTATTTGTAAAGAGCCACTGTGATTTTATGACAGATTTGGGGAGAGAGCACACTATGCCACTGCTATAGCTGGAATATCTGTCCCCTCCAAAACCCAGGTTGAAATTTAAGCCCCAATGGGGCAGTACTGAGAGATCACTGGCTCACGAGGGCTCTGCCCTCATAAATGGATCCATTGATTATAATGGATTAAGAGATGATCGTGGGAGTGGGACTGGTGGCTTTACAAGAAGAGAAAGAGAAACCTGAGCTAGCATGTGAGCACACTCAGCCCCCTCACCATGTGAGGCCCTGTGCCACCTTGGGACTCTGCAGAATCCCCACCAGTAGGAAGGTGCTCATCAGATATGGCCCCTTGACCTTGGACTTCTCAGCCTCCATAACTGTAAAAAACAGATTCATTTTCTTTACAAATTATCCATTTTCAGGTATTCTGAGGAACAGAGAACAGACTAATACAGCTATTAAATATAAATAGGTAACTAACAAGGGCATCCCACTTTCAGAATGAACAAAACATTTAAAAAAAGAAAGTTGCATCTTAGAAAGGTTTAGGAAGGACAAGAATCATGCTTCCAGGAGAATGAGGACACCTATAGATAATTCTGAAGGACAACAATCATGCTTCCAGGAGAATGGGGACACCTATAGATAATTCTGAAGGACAACAATCATGCTTCCAGGAGAATGGGGACACCTATAGATAATTCTGTGCTAATTTGGAGCAATGGCCAAGAAGTTACGCTGAAGGTCAAAATCTACAAGCACTGAGAAGAGAAACAACGACCTTTGGGTCCTTAGGTACCACAGCTCCACTAAGGTAGCCTAAAATTGAAGGAGATTTATGGGAAAACCCACCAGACTGTTGATCTATATTAAGTTTATTATGTCTAAACACCTGAACTGCAACCAAATCTGTACTCTTCTATACCTGTGGTATTGATTTTAAGATTAATTTACAATAAATTCTACTTCAGCTTTGATGTTGTAGCTTGTCAAGACGTTCTGAATCTTGAATGAGCACCTCTGGTATCTGTTATCTCCGACAGCCGCATGGCACCTGCAAATCTGATATGCATACTTCTAATTCTTCCACCACAAGGAATTCATTGTCTATGCTATGATACAGTTCTGATAAAATACTTGCAGGTGTTAATAAGTCACTGATTATCCTCTATCTGACACCTCTCTGGAATATATTTCATAATGTTAAAAAAATCCTTTCCTGAAATGCAGCAGGCTAAGAAATTAGGCATAAACAGGCAACCCTGTTATTTTTTCCCTGTGAGATTAAATGTCATTTATTTACAAAGACTTGGATTTTAGAGAATTAACTTCTTATCCTTACGGCTAAGACAGCCCTCAAAATTAAAAAATAAATAAATAAATAAAAAACCTCCTTGGTGCCTTCGTGAGCGACAAGAAGAGGCAAGCCCTTGAGAAGCTCAAAGCATTTACATGTCTCTTGCCTTTGGGCACGCTTTCCATTCTCCATGAGAATCACAAAATTGTAGATTCTTTAGAGACTACGTCTGTAAGTCCCTTAAGGGCACTGGATCCTGTCTTCTGTATTTGAAACTTAAATTAATTCAAAGCAGCTTAGTGCTTTCTTCCTATCTCATCTTTCTTGGATTAGATTTTGGGTTTACTCTTGTTTTCTTGCATCTAGTTCAACAATGCATCTTGTTCCAGAAGAATTTAGTAAGAAGACAGGCACTGGGAAGCTCTCTCCTTTTGGACCTTACATCACACTTGAAGCAGTGACTCCAGCCCTTCTTTGTTTCTGGTTGTTCTATAAGCAGATGGCAATTAAAAAAAAAATTGACATTTGTATTTGTGGTAAATTTCCACTCCAGATTTCTCAAAAAAATGACTAGTGGGCAAGGCTCCCGGTCCTCCCGTGCAGTCACCCCGGCACGTGTGTCCTCCCACGCCCTGTGTTCGCGCCCCCGACCCTCCCTCCCCGGCCCTGCACCACGCACTCTCACTTTGGCAGCGGCGACCTCCGAAACCCCTCCCGGCGGCACTGGGGCTCCCCGGTCTCCCCCACCAAGTGGCGCCTCCCCCGGCCTGACCCTGCGGAACCCTCGGAAGCGGATACCGCCTTCTCCGTCCCCTGCCTCCCACCCTGACCGCTCACCAGCTGTGTACTTGTCTGCGGGGTGCTGGGGCGCCAGGGCTGAGGCCACCCCGCAGGAGCGGCTGGAGAGAGGCCGGCACGAGGGGCGAGGGCCGAGCCCCCGGAGCCGGAGCCGGAGCCGGAGCCGGAACCGCCTCTCCAGGAAGCCGCTCAGGCTCTACCCTCACCCCTGCAATCCGCCTCCTCCCTGACGCCAGGGTGATTCTCTGGGAGTAAAAATGTGATTCCCACCTGAAAGCCTTTACTGGCTTCCCCTCCATTAGGATCCGAACTCCCAGCTGTGCTCCGCAGCCCCAGCAGCAGCAGACCCAACTCACACGCCCGTCCTTCCCTGACTCCTCCTCGGCCCTCAGCTCCCGGCTCCTGGCCAGGCCTCCCCAGCAGTCTGGAGGTTGCTTTGCCTTCGGGCGGCAACACCCTGGTCAGGCTCCGTCTCAGTCCCCTCGGAACTAAAGACCACGGGCAATGGGATGTTGCCTGACTTATTCTTGGTTGTTTCTCGGATGCTGAGAATGCAGACTGGTCAATATTCAGACTCAGGGTTTTCTGACTGAAGGGCCTCTCTGTCCTCAGTAAGTATTTTTTAGTGGAACAGATGAGTGCTGCTGAGAGCTGACTGGTGACTGCCGCTTTCTCTATTTTTCCCAGACCGCCTTCCTCCTGCACTCCTCTCCCCAGCCTCCCCAGCTCCCCCAGCTCCCCCAGGCAGAGCCCTCCTGGCCCTGCCTGTGCGCGGGGCTCTGCTCTAAGGCACCTCAGGCAGGGAGCAGTCACCGAACTGCTCCCAGTTTGGGGAGCAGCCCCCAAAGCACATGGCCATAGAGGGATTCTGCTATCACTTGGCAGGGGATGCCCGTCTGTGTTATTGGCCAAGTCTTCGTAATTCCCAGAACAATTCTTTGTAGATTAACGGATGGGTAGTTAATTGGATCACAAATTTGACGCCTTAATAACTGAAATGTATGATGCTGAAGAGTCACTCAGATTACTTTCTTTTTTGTTTTTAACAGTCTCACTCTGTTGCCCAGACTGAGACTCTGTTGCCCAGTGGCGCAATTTCGGCTCACTGCAACCTTCGCCTCCCAGGTTCAAGTGATTCTCCTGCCTGAGTAGCTGTGACTATAGGCATGTGCCACCACACCTGGCTAACTTTCGCATTTTTAGTAGAGACAGGGTTTCACAATGTTGACCAGGCTGGTCTCCAACTACCAAGCTCAAGTGATCCACCTGCCTCAGCCTCCCAAAGTGCTGGGATTACAGGCATGAGCCACTGTGCCTGGCCAGAAGATCACTGATTGTTCTACAGATAAAGTCCAAAAAAAAAAGAAATGACCAAATAATATTACACATCTGGAGACATAATCAGAAGAAGAGTCACAAATAAAGGTGGTTAAGGTCCTTCTGTTTCTATTCATCCCCTCATTTAATTTCTTTTAGTGTTTTGGTGTGTGTGCAAAACAAGATTCTAGGTGCTAAGGATTCACAGATGAATACAATTTACATTTGTACCGGGGGTACATACAGTCCGAGGGGGAAAAATATCACCTCATATAATACGGTTCTAGTATAATCAGAATTCCAAGGGAAGGGAAAGAATGCATCTTCCAATGTACACGTGGACAGTAAACAGCACAATGTACAACTTACAGCTAACTTAGTGTAAGGTACCTCACACTTTAATTTAAAAATCTTTAATATTAGAATGCATCATTGAAATTTAAGCCTTAAAATTAAGGACTTTTCAGACTAAGCATCACAGAGATGCTAAGCATACTGGCAAAACATGGCATGCCGTTTAGTTTAATGAGACAACATAAAAATTCAGACCAAGAAAATAAATATTCAGAAGCAAAGGCTTTTTAGAAGTGAGACACGTTGGAATGCCTAATCTACTACAGAGCTTGTTTCTTCATCTGGAAAATGCGGATAAAGTGTTTTCCTTGTGGGGTGGTTATGGGGACTAAATGGTAGATTACCAGGCATATAATAAAGGGTAGCTATTTTTCAACACATGACTACATGCTGAGACTATGATTTAATAGGCTGGCAAAAGAAAAGATAGGGAATCAGGAAGAAAAGAAGCAATAAAAGGTTTGTTACTAACAGAGGGTGAGTTCTGAAAAAGCAAGAAGAGTTCAACTTATCCAGGATGTCATAAACGCCAACTATCACAACCCAAAGGACAATATGACAAGATTACTGTACCTACCTGTCCAGTCTGATAATGTCTGGCAAATTGGTTAACTACTCGATAATCATTTGCAAAGTACTCCATCAGAATAGAAGGAACCTCAGCAAAATCAGTAGGGCACCTGGTCCCTAAAACAAGAAAAAAAAAAAAAAGTTGGCATGAATCAAATCGATATATTTATCTTACTTTTTATGTACCCTTTAAAACTTTTATTTGTACTTCTGATGAACTATAAATTTTAATTCATTAAATCAATATTTTTCTTCTATAAATTTACTGTACATATTTGCAGAAAAGTTTATTATAATCCTATATATTTTCCTTTATATCAAAATTAAAACAAAATATTTGCACAGCTGCCAAAACACCTTATAAAGCAATGGCTCACACCTTTTACAAACAAACCTGTCTTCAGCTATGCTGGCTATACATGAAACAAAGTAAAACATTTCTAATATTAATATAGCGTTTGTATTTAATTCACTAAATTCCATTACCTAATACTTTTATCCTTCCTTTGTTTTACAAGTACTTTATTTTATTCATTTATCGCTTTTTGTAACAAAGTCAATTCTCAGTGAGGAAAAGAAATATTTTAAACTCAAAATTACTTAAAGTAACAAATCCTGTAAGAAATTTAGATGACATTTAATGATTCTGTTCAGCCCACCTACAGTCTTTTCAATGCCTTCTCCTTGTCCAAAATACTGTGTGTAAAGTTAGTTAATAAATGTTGGATGCCAACGATTCACTAGTGGTCTAATGCTGACCATATGTGATAGGGAGCTTAAGACTTAAGGATAAGACAACGAAGAGGAAAGTCTGTAACATCATAAAATATGGCCACATATTTAGCAGCATAAAAACTACAAAGCAGACCTATGATTTTATACAGGGGAAAGATTAAAAGGACTTCATCATACTTTTTAAGCATGCTTTATTTAAATTAAAAGCTAAACGGACTTCATCATACTTTTTAAGCATGCTTTATTTTGTTTTCTGATTTTGAATATAGAGACCATTCACTGACTTATTAACTCTGTGGAAGGTATTAAGGAGATACCTTTCTATTCACACACACATAGCCGCAAACTTAAATTCAATATAAAACACTGTAAAATGTAAAAATGGACAAACTTGAAAGACAACTGAGATTATTCCCTGGTGAAAGCTGTTAGCAAGCATGGAAAAAAGCACTGGAAGATCAGGCTGCACAACTACGGAGGGGACAGGATGAGGCAATCTGCGATAAAGACCACAGGACATGGTAAAATGATCACATTTTCCAAATGAAAAGCCCCTTCCCCAATTTAAAAGAAAATGCATGTTTGTAAAGGATTGTAGTAAATAAAAGCCCTCCTCATGGCTCACCAGTGACGTGTTGGTAACGAGTACGTCCTAGCATTGAATGCATGGCATGTCCCATTTCATGGAAAAGATTTTCCATCATGCCAGGAGTCAGCAAAGTTGGAGAACTCCTTGAGGAACGGGGAAGATTCAGCATAAGAACTACAACTGGGAGTTGATAGTCTCCGTCTTCCTTTAGTCTGCCTCCACGGATAGTGAAATGGCAATCCTTTAAGAATCAGAAAACATAAAAGGAAAAGAACGTATTTGGTAATGTGAAGAGTAAAACAGTCTTAATGAATATAAAATTTCACCAAAATGTGTGAGTGCAAACTTTAATTATATTCTTATTCTATCTATGTACATACATACACCTTTTCTTGACATTTTTTATTCTGCTAAAATTTTAATTTTTTAAAACATCAAGAAACACATTCAGTTTATATGGATTAATTCATTAATTTGGTCCCAAAATATGCATTGAAATGATGCTGTGCCAGATGCTGGAAACAAAGTCAGCAAAGAGCTGAGGAAGGGACACTAACATTTATTCTGAGTCCCTACTATGTGTCAGATAATGAACTAGTAAGTACTTTCCGTGTCTCTTGGCTATTTTTTTTTTTTTTTCATTTTTTAAGATAGGGTCTTGCTCTGTTGCCCAGGCTGGAGCGCAGTGTTGTGATCACAGTTCACTGCAGCGTGGACCTCCACGCCATCCTCCTGCTTCGGCCTACTGATTGGCTGGGACTACAGTGTGCTCCACCACACCCAACTAAGTTTTTAGATTTTTTTGTAGAGATGGGAGTCTTACTATGTTGCCAGGGCTGGTCTTGAACTCCTGGGCTGAAGTGATCCGCCAGCCTCAGGATTACAGGCCTGAGCCACCACACCCAGCCTCTCTTGACTTTTATCAGTTGAACGAGATGGGATCTAAACTAGTGTAAAGCAAGGGATCCGGATCCAGAGTAACTTACTCTGAAATAGGCACTACACTGAGACTCACATACACTGTATCACTTATTCTCCACAACAACCCTGTGTAGCAGGTATCTCACTTTTCAGATGATAAAACTAAAACTAGTCTTAGAATTATTAAATATGTCCAAGGACACCTAGCTAGAATTGCCGCACCTTGGATCTGAACCCAGGCTGACTATTAGGAGCCAGGGCTCCTAATCACTAAGTTGAGTCTCCACCACCCACCCATTTAAGCAAAGAGGAAGAATACTGGCCGCAGAGTCTGGTGACCTGCACCCTGTTCCTACCTTTCACACCTACTAGCCAAATCATCTTGGAAAAGAATTTGCCTGTGCAAGCCTCATCTCTAAAATGCTTCCTTGTCAAATCCCACAGTGGCTGTCCAGAATCTATAAGCTCAAATCTGTTAAAATCCGTGCTTTGGAAATTGTGAATCACTATTCAAACATAAGATACATTATGTCTGTTATAACTTATAACCTAAACTCTTGACATTTCCCATCAAGCTACATGAAACTGCTAAAGCTGACTGGCTGTCAAAGTCAGCCAACGCTAAAGAAAAGGAGATGAGCTGCCTCAAGTCGTCCACATAAGGAGCTACTTGGTGGTTGGTAAGGTTTCCACATGGGATATCTTCTGCAGTTTTAGAATAGGTTCATTGTCAAGTATGGAAAAGAGTTAAAAGTTGGGGATCTGATCGGGAGGTATGTCTTCAAGTCCTAGCACTTCTGACCAAGTAGCTTAACCTCTCTGGCTTCATTTTCCTCATAACGTGAGTATCTAGTCAAAAGGTTGAGGTGAACATTAAAAGGCCGATGGGTATAATGGATTCAGTGCACTGGTTGGCACAAATAAGGATTCATAAAATGTCAGCTGTCATTATTACTATAATTAATACCATGACCCAGATAAAAGTGACAAATACAGACTGATGTAATTATTTCCATAAACTTTTTCATTTTAAAATGCTATCTTAATTTCAAATGTATATATTTGGTAACCATCATTAATAACTTTTAAATATCATGGATTTTAAAAATGATACAAAGTTCACATTAATACAAATGAAATGCTGATCAGTTCTAGAGAGAACAGTTTATAAAGAAAGGATCACCTGATGTGGCTTGTCTGCTCGCTGAAAAAAATCACAGTAAATGTACCCCAACAATCCCTCAGATTCATGAACGACAGCCTAGAAAAAAAAATTTTAATTTGGTGGTAAATTAGGCCATCCGATTCTCTAAAATCCCTAGCACAAGAATCTGTATATTAGACATCCACAACCACACATATAGACATTTTAATTACATTCGACATCCCATATTGTCTCGAGATAGATTCTCTTTTCCCCACATCCTCTTCTGCTCCATCTCTTGAATGATTTTGGTTTTGGAATTCTGTGTCCAGGAGAGGAAATCCTCCTCATGAGGGCCTTCTGTCCTGACTGCCTGTCCTCTACAACACCTTTACTAACCACCACAAGAGTTGAGAAGAAGTGCTGGCTGGACAATTTTAGGAGCAAAAGTATTTTTCCTTCACATCCTGGAATGTCATGATATATGCCCAAGCAAATTATAACCCTCGAATTTGAAAACACCACAATGCAGCTCCCAGCTTGAGTTAAAAATCAACAATATCACTATCTATCCCCTCTCCAAGAGGCAGAGCTTATAGGAGAGACTCAACCGCTACTCTCCATCTTGCCTTCTTTGTTCTTTCAGAATTTAATGATTCCATCAAAGAGAACCCCGATTTTGTGCTTTAAATTACCTGCAAGTATATATTCATTGTTCATCAAACATCTATTAAGCACCTACTTGGTGCCAGGAACTGTTCAAGACACTTGGGATACAGAAGTGAAAGCAACTGACAACAGGGCTGGACCCCAGTGAAGTGCACATTCTGCAGTTCTGAGGAAACCTCTTCATCACCCGCATCTTGTCCTCTCAGTCTCCTCTTATAAACTTTTCTTTTTATTATAGCTCAGCATTTTATCAATCTCTATCTTTTTCGGAAATTTGTAATACAGATATTGAAGTAAATCAATGCGGTGATGAACGTCCTCTCACCCTGACTCTCCTTTCAATCCCACCACCACACCTACTCTCCACTCATAAGACGTGGCCAAAAGACAATGAGTTTACATTTCTTAAAATATAGTGAAGAAAGCAGTGTGGTAAGCATGCTAGCAAAAATCAAACAACAAAACAATACAACGCCTTAGTGACAAACACAGGTCAACAAAGCCTCAAATCCTATGAGGAAAAATTTAAAATATTCATGCCTCAAATAAAGTGGGCCTTCACAGGACAAAGATGATTGCTAGGTTTGAAGTTATTATCAAAGAAATTAAATAAATCAGAACACAGGACGTAAATTAATATCTGATGCAAATATAAGCCCCTACAACATGGGATGGGGGCTGGAAAGAAAAAAGGTCACTCATGCAATGGATTTGGGAATTAACCAAAAGGGACACACAGCACTGAAGGTACATACAAAGTAATGGCCAATCTTCCTCTAACTAGAATTTGTGGATATATGAAGGTGTATATATATTCAACCTTCTATCAAGTTCCAAACAACTTTTTTAGAAAACTCTGCTGTTTTATGTTTAGATCCTTTATACAGTGTCCTAAATCAAAAGTGCAATTTGGATTTTTTTTGTGAAGCAGAAATAAGGCAAGGGACACACTCACTCAGGGCAAAGTTAACGTAAACATGAAACTGCTGTTGACTCAACTTCCAAACCGAAAGGCTAACGCATGCAACTGCAGGCTGAGCGGGAGCTCACCAGTTTTCGGACATCTTCACTCCACACCTCTCCTTTTGCAGGCTGCTCTGCATATAATGAAATCCCCAATAGTCTGTTTAGCAAAATATTCAGGCCTTCCATGCATGCTCCAAGAGAGAAAAACGGGCAATATAGGCTGGGCTCAATATTATACCTAAGAGAAGGAAGAGAGGTTCAATAGCATCTTTGTTTATTTCAATTTCTGAAGGTAAATTCAATTAACTTTTCATTTACTACTTAAGATCACTGGAGCTAAAGAAGGATTCAAAACATAAAAGTGCATTTATATCATTTGAGGGGTTTTCAGACAGTGTTCTTCAGAATGACAGTCTGATTATTACTAGTGTTAGTCATAAGTCAGTAATTAAGGTAGACATATCACTCCCTAATCTTTGTCCCTTCCATTTTATTTACTCCTTTACTACGAACCCAATTAAGCACTGTCTCAACTGCTCACTGTATACATACTTATATGCAAGATATGACCAGTTTCAGTTATAATGGTAACTCTTATCTCATGAGTTATATTCTAGAAACTCATGACTTATATCACATAAATATTAAATGAATAAAAACCCTGAGGCACATTAAGTGAATTTAAAGTTCTCATCCAGTAAAATATTCATTTATGAAAAAAATGCCTGCAATATAAAGATTAAGATCTTAATTTATCTGTTTTATAGATATCTTAAATTAAGGACAACATAACTAGTAAGGTGAATTATTCTTCACCCAAAAATAACTTTTTCTGTTCTATATATTCCAACATAAACCAAAACAAATCCAAAATATGTGATTTGAATGTTTACATTTGAGTCATTAAGTCAAGCCAAAATATATAACCACAGCCAAAAATAATGGCTCTAGAATATTGTAGGTCTTCATTATACATCCACTTTTGGGGATTACCAAAATATACATTTTTTTTCAATTGGCTTTATTTGTGATTCTAGAACTGCACAACATTTTGTTCCATAAAATAAGAGTCCCTACAAATTTATATATAAAATATATACAAATACAGTTACTACTAAATGAATGAGTTTAGCAAGTGAACATAAATTGCACAACACATGAGACTTTGGCTATGGACATCCACAAATTTACACCTTAATTTCTGACTGATTTTTCATTAAACAGAATCCTAGTGTTGAAAGAGACATTCATGACCAGTGCCCTGGCTCCCTGGTTCGCTCACTCAAGCATGCCATCGGCAAACCTGCTGGAGGACAGGAATCAAGAGCCTTTGTGTCTAAGCAGCTCGAGCTGAAGGAGGCAGAGAAGTGAACCAACTGCACTGTGTCCTGGGCCTGGAGCAGTGGGCACACAGCCGGTGCTCAATAGGCAGTGCTGAAGGATGAATGAATGAGCACTGCACAATAGGAGAGCAAAGGAGAGCGTGATGACTTTACTTGTGGAGTGCAGAGTAGCACCAGGGAAAGCTTCTCGGATAGGAATTAAGAAAGAATTGGCCGGGTGCTGTGGCTCATGCCTATAATCCCAGCACTTTGGGAGGCTGAGGTGGTAGATCACAAGGTCAGGAGTTCAAGACCAGTCTGGCCAATACGGTGAAACCCCATCTCTACTAAAAATACAAAAATTAGCCGGATGTGGTGGTGGCTGCCTGTAATCCCAGCTACTCGGGAGGCTGAGGCAGAGAATTGCTTGAACCCAGGAGGCAGAAGTTGCAGTGAGCTGAGATCGCGCCACTGCACTCCAGCCTGGGCAACAGAGTGAGATTCTCCATCTCAAAAAAACAAACAAACAGAATCAGACTTTGCCAGGCAGGGCTGGGATGAGGAATGGAAAATGGGAATCATAATAGGAATTCTGGGCGGAAGCGATGGTGTAACTAAAGTAGGACGGCATAAAATAGCCCGGTAACTTCTAAAAAGGATGTGGTTAAAGACGAAGCAGTTACCAACGCAGGGATAAATGGAGAAAGAATGGGAGCAGAGTCTGGAAAAGGCAGGCAGGGGCCAGAAAACAGAGCGCCTGGTCCACTAAGCTGAGGAACTGGGACCATGCACCACAGGCCACGGCCTCTAAGCTTCCTCACCAATGCATACTAAAATAACTTTTGAGTATTCAACCTTCTATAAGTACATTTATAAAGTATACTCGTGTGGTATTGTTTTATCACACTGCAAAAAGGAGACTTTTTATAAGTTGAGATAAAGAAAAATAAATATACATAGAATTCCTAATATTTTATGACTACACTCTCCATGAATTGCTTACAGATGCCATTTGGGAGACAGCTTCTGTAGGCCACAGTGGAGCATCTGATGTTTTCCGGAATGCTGCGCAGTGGACAGCGAGGAGGGTGGAATGCAGGAGGCAGGGAGGGCTGACAGGAGGACTGACTTCCCGGCTTCAGAGGGTGAACTCTGATGAAGGGAGGGGGGGTCAGGGATGAATGTATTTTTCCTTTGAAATGCAAACGTCTCAGGACTGTGTGAGTGACTGGATTTGGAGGGTGATGAGAAAGACAGAACAATCTAGAATAACACTCAGGTTTCTGGCTTGGACAAATAAGTGGGATGGTAGAGTCACTGAATCTGCCAGCGCAATGAACACAAAAAAAGGAAGAGGGGAATCTGGGTGTGTTTGTGGGAGAAGAGAGGAGGGTGAGGTGTAATGATGGGAGGAGGACGGAGGGCTCACAGGAAATAGACTCCGTTTTGGAGACACCAACTGTGAAGTGCCCATGAGATGCCAGACACTCAGGACTCAGAGCTAAGGAGAACAAGGAGACTTCGCTGTCTGGATGTTAGAGCTATAGAGGGAGGCAGGGCCATAAGGGAAGGGTGATGCAGGCTGAGAAGAGGGAAAAGGGTAGACCCCTGAACTATCAGAGGGAGGACTGGGAAGGAAGACAGAGAACAGTTCAGAGCTACTGAAGAACTAACAGAAAGGAGTACCACGGAAAGAGGGGAGAAAATAAATTATAAAAGTGGTCCAGGCTTGAGGTTTCCACTCCTGCACATGAGAAGGTTGAAAGTCACCACTCCATCCTAACAAGCAGGAAGCTGAACAAACTGAAAATCAAGAATCTTCTTAGATTCCGCAGAGAATCAAGGCCACAGAGCAAACTGCTGCCCCCAAAACTGGAAAGACAGGCAGGTAGACATAGAGAATCGCATCACCACTTCACAGAGCAGAAACCTCCCACAGAACCGACTACAAGGCAAGGACGTCTAAACTGTAATTGGTTATAGAAAGCGATTCACTTTTTTGTTGCCAGATAATAAAAACCAACCCAAATACAAAGGGGAATGAAAAGAAACTTTACATATTAAAATTATACCCTTAAGATTATAATGAACATATGACATTTATTTTTATGGAAAAGAAACACAGTAAAGCTAATAGCACAGCTTAGTTTACTAAACTATAACTTAAAAATATTTACTGACTTATCCAATGACCATGACACTCATATGTGTCAGGCAAAATTCAAGGAAACAATTTATCTTGGAAAACTTAAGTATAGAATATAAGTTTATATAACATTACACTAAAATGATTGGGAACAAATGAATTTCTAAACTCCCTGTTTTAAAATAAAAACACCTCAAAAATAATAACAATGGGCAAAAAGTATACTGTCTTGCCCCCTGGCTCACTATGCCCACCCCGAGAGGTAAGGATCTTGTGTATCCTTCCAGGCATTTTCTATGCACACTCTTAGAAGTTTCTGCATGTAAACTTTATGGATCTATAAACCTACTTCGGCACAAACAGAATCATACCATTCACACCACCTCACAATTTCATTTAACATAAAACTAGATCAATGATATGTATTTTTTACACATAGATTTTTCATAAAAATAGAACTTGGAATACTTTCCAGTTTAGTATGTAAAGCTCTATCCTGTTTTCTTTCATGGGTGTAGTCATCCACAGCAAACACATGACAAAGCTTATTTCATGCATCTCCTGCTGTGTTGTACGTGAGCAGAGAGGAGGCAAGGCCAGTGACAGCCTGAAGCATCAGTGGGGGAAGTATCTGACCAGGGACAACATTTGGAGTTTCTCACACATGGGGATATTAAAGGATCCCAGACTTTTCATCAGTTTTATTATTGACTTTAATTTCTTTACAGAAAATGCATGCCATTAGGCCACACCCAGAGCTCACTTCCCTGCCTTGGTCTGCCTCTGTTCCTCTTCACTGACGGTAAGCTGCTGTTCGCTTACCTGTTAAAATGATGCCATAGTGAAATGTCCTTGTCACACCCACACAAGCCTATCCATAAGATAAATCGAAGAAATGACATTGCTGCAAAGAGTATGAGATCTTAAATTTTTTGATAGGTATTTCCAAATTATCCTCAAAAAAAAAAAAAAAAGCTGTTCTAACTTACATTCCTACCTACAGTGTATGAAAATACCTAGTGCCCTCACTCTTGCCAATGTAATTCTGATATGTTTCCTTTAATGCTTCCTTTATTTTCTTTCTTTCGGTAGGTGTGCTGCATTTCCTCTTTCTTTCTAATCACTTGATATCTTAGTGATATCTACAGTCTATATTTTAGCTTCTCTGGTGGTTTCTCTATTGTTTTTTATTTTTTATTTTTTTTGAGACAGAGTCTCACTCTATCACCCAGGCTAGGGTGCAGTGACATGATCTCAGCTCACTGCAACCTCCACCTCCCAGGTTCAAGCAATTCTGCTGCCTCCTAATTTTGATACTTTTGGTAGATACGGGCCTCTGTTGGTTTTAAAATAAACATTTTTTGGTTTAGCAATTTTAGATAATATTTACTGATTCCCCTCCTCCTGCCTTGCCCTCCTGATCTGTCTTGTTGTTATATATAGATATAGATATATTGATGCTCTTTTTCTTAATTTTGCTAGGCACCAGAAAGGAGAATAGAGATATGCCCTTTATTTTGCCACCGTTTACTGGATATCTCCAGAATGCATACAATGGGGGAATAGCTATTAGTAGTAAGGAAGAGGAGAGAAATGACAAAATCCTGTGCTTTAGAAGGATTATTCTGGCAGTGGTATGTAGGTCAGTTTAAAATGCAAAGATTCATGATTATTATAGCAAGAGAAAGTTCAATATAGTTTGTGTATCTCTTATCCAAAATGCTTGGGATATGTTTTGGATTTTGTATTTTGGAAAATTTGCATATACAT